ATATTTTACAGTAAGGTTCACCCTTTACAAGGCCTGCGGGCCACTCGAGGTGGAGGGTTACGTTAGGAGTCCGTTTGTGCGTATAGGGGTGGAAAATAGTAGTTAACCCTAACTTTGAACAGGTTAAGACTGTAATGATCAGGGAAACATCCTCTTGGGAGTCGGTTCCACAGGGCAGTGGTGTTCCCGGGAAGAAGCTGTTCGATGGTATACGGAGGAAATGTGGGTGGTTTGCTACAATGTAAGTGGCATGGTGTGTTCTTGCCGTTAAGGTTTGACTTAGCGGGACAAGGTAATGTAGTTCGTCCGAGCACTTTCCGTGGAAGTAGCGATAAAACAGCGAAAGGCTTGTCACGTCCCGCCACAACGTATTCTGAAATGTCAAATATGTTATCCATCTCCACTCCGCAAAAACATACCTGCTACCAAAAGTGAAGCGAATCTTTAACCCAGGTGGTATCTACAATGTGATGGTAACATGAAATAATGCGTTTACAGTCACTGGAATTATTAGTTAATTTTATGTGGAATTTTGTGATACGATGAAAAAGTCTGGATGTTTATTATGAAGCGGTTCAATATGCAGAGCTGAATCAATATAGTTCCAGATAAATATAGAATTTCTCATCTTGAGTTTCTTATTGCATATAGTATTAATTATTGCATATAATATTAATATAGTTCCAGATAAATACAGAAATTTCACGTCTTCAGTTTCTTATTGCATAGCACGATTTCTTCAAGTGTGGTCGATTTTAAGAAGATAATAATGATAAATTGGTGGATGTAACTCAACGCTTGGTGGAAATAGTTTATTTTTTGTGTAAGCGAAACACTAATGTAGTCCAGAGACAGAGAATTTTCTTCAGGAATCTCTCACCGCTCAGCGACGAAAAATATGTAGCATAACTGTAAACATTGCTTGTCCTTGTAGTAAAGTTTTCTAAATAGATATTTCAGGAAGATTTTCTGTCTGCGATGGAATTAGTAAATTGAATTAGACATTGAGGGAGGGCATTATTGCTTTTGGGTGTTCGTGATGTATGTTGGGGTTTATAGTTTAAGTCTTGGATTTACATCTTTATTTTCTCGATTTCTTTATCTTCAATAATTTAGCACGAATGTAAGATGATAGTTATTTACAAATCTTATGTTAATCTGAGCACAACACTACATGGACGCGGCAGGTAGAGTAAAATGTACTACACAGTAGTAAGGATCTGTTACGTTAGCTCGTTGACCATTACTAACATTAACAGCTAATAACGAGGATTATATTCTTGAAAAGGAAACTTAAATAGCTTGTAAATTTTAACTCTCCAAAACAACACTGTTCTCTTTTAATCGTCTTTAATCTTTTTTTCTCTTTACATCAGTATGACCCATGCTAACCTCTAAGAGATTGGCTCGTTAAGCCTTCTCGAGCTAAAGTGGTCCACTGACATGAAATGGAAAGATGATAGTGAATCAATTGCTAAGTTTGCAGCTAGGTAAGTTGGTTCACTATGTCGTGCTAGACAATTCTTCTCGAAAGAACCTAACTTACACATTTATAAGTCAACCATTCGCCCATACATTGAATATTACTGCCACATCACTTCTGGTGCTTCTGCTATGTATTTAAAGATTCTTGATAAAATTCAAAGAAGAATCTACAATGTTATCGATCCTGACTTGGCATCTCGGCTTCAGTCACTTTCCCATAACAGTAACGCAGCTTCCTTGTGCCGTTTCTATAAATACTTTCATGGTAATTGTTCTGGTGCGTTTTCTCTTCAGTGCCTCAATTTTACGAATCTAAGCATATTACTAGAATTGCAGCTAGGTCTCATTCTTTTACAATTATATGTAGATGTAACCATAAGTTAGTATTTTCTTCTCTCGCACTTCTCCCTTGTGGAGCTCTTTTCCAGGTTCATGCCTTCCAGTCAACATTGATCCTCATAAATTTAAATGCATTTCTGTATCTTTAATTCTTGTTCTTTTATTAACCTCTTCCCTTAATAATGTTTTTCTCTGATTTGTTCACACTCAATAACCCCTTGTGCTTTAGTGGCTTTATCGCCTTGCTTGGAGTGAAATTATTTAAATATATATACATATATGTGTGTGTGTGTGTCATATCGATGTTCCGAAAGAAATACCTCCAATTTTATTATCATGTTAGAAAAGTAATGACATTTTACAGTGAAACATTGGTTTCGGTTCTCAAGCTTATAAGAAACCAAAACTCCATCTTTGTCAAGCCATAATGTCGGATAGAAGAAATGATAAACTGAGTCTCGACGCAGTTTCCTATCATTTAACTGTGGTTCTCATAATTCATAGCGATGTTATCTTTCGAAAAGCCTGATATTATGTTAGCCAATGTCATCAAAAGCGGATGTTAATAGTATGACAGCAGATTATGAACCTTCCCGCCAATAACACATATTTTTTTTCTCTTGTTACGTAAAACGATAGTCTGAAAAAAAAAGTTATCTAGCATAAAAGTGCTTACGTCGTAGTGGTACGTCATTGAATGGCTCCGTGCTGAAAAACAGTCAGCCAATGACATTCATCGACGCTTTCTGAATGTTTCCGGAGATCAGACAGTAAATCAAACAGTTTACGGGGATCAGGCAGTGGATATAGGCGGGGGCGGGTCCGGCAGTGGATATAGGCGGGGGCGGGTCTGGCAGTGGATATAGGCGTGAGGGAATCAGGCAGTGGATATAGGTGGCGTGTAATGCATTTTGGCACTCTGGCGAAAAAGACGTGCAGAGTTCTATAGCAGTGACATGCAGAAACTTGGCCAGAGTTGGAAAAATTCACATGCGGTAAAATAGCATTTTATAGCTGATTATTTGCCCTATGCAATAGTGTTGTTTTGCTCCATGAATCTGTTGCAGTTTCTGTACGAATAGACAAAGGAGGCATTGCTCTCGGAAAGGAGGGATAGATAGTCTATATCTCCCGATTTGACAGTTCCATCTACACGAGATTAGATTGCCTTCAAGAACCACTAATTTGAGTTGAGTCAGCAACTATAAAGGCCTATTTCTACTTTCAAATTGTCCAACAACTTATTCCCGAGCACTGCTTCTTCTCCTTTACGTCCCTTCATGTCTCTCGCCAATTTCCTGTCTTTGTAGCTCTTAATAAATTTTGTCTTTTTGTTATCTCTCCTAAACCTTGTTCCGTCATCCATTTACTCAAGCTCACTAAGTTATGCGTCGTTTTCCTCAAGAGGGACACTTACCTTCAATCTGTCCTGTGAGTATCAGATTTTTCAAGCCCTCTTTCCTCATTATGCGCCTGAAAAAATTCAACTGTTTCTTCCCGATGTTAAGTTTAACTTTCCTTTTTGTTTTCCATTTTCTCTAAAACTTCGTCGTTGCTCACATGTTCGATCGATGGTATCATCAGCATCCTCCTGTAGAACCATATTCCTGCTGCCTCAAGTCTTCTCTTTATCTGTGAGGAGATGTCCAGCATTCATTTCCATATAGAAAGACTGATATTACGTAACAGTTCAGTACTCTTTTCTTTGTTCCTATTGAAATTTTCGTGTTTCTTAATAAACTGCTTAGCTTTTGAAAGGCATCTTTAGCTATCCCAGTACGTCTTGAGATTTCATTGTCGCACTTTCCATCCTCTGTTAAAACACTTCACAGATATATAAATTGTTGTAATTGTTTGATTTTGGCATTTTAAATTCTCACGTTAGTGCTATTATTAGTTGGTCCTGTAAATTCCTTCATATCCAGAAAGGTGGGTTGAATTTCCACTATCCAGCTGTCCTGTGTTTAACCTTATCTAAGTTTATCGGAACCCGTGATAACTTTTGTTATGATAAAACAGCACGACTATAAAAACTTTGACAATTTAAGAGTCCTTCGTAATACGCTTCTAACAAAAACTTTGACGCTGTAGCCAGAATAATTCTCCGTACCCAAGACACCACAAGTTATCCAGTTTCACGTTACACTTTACGGGTGCTTAGTCGTTTTTTTTAATCAATTCACTCTATACAAGGCTACTAAGATACAAGGGGCTACTGCGAGTAAAAGAGAATGAAAAAGTTCGAACAAAGTTACCAAAACCACATACCCTCACAGGAGACGTTAATTTAAAGGAGTCCAGAAGTGTACAAACAATAATTTTGCATATGTAAGATTTAGTTTTCTATTCGTATGAGACGTTACAAAGATAACGTTACATACTAATCTTTAACCTTCACACGATAAATACACGTCAGACGCACTTTTTCATATCACCAATATTCATAAAGCCTACACTTAAAGAATGTAAGAGCTAAACATTTTACATAATTATTTCCAAAATTTCGTCATATGTTTTTTAAACAATTCAACCTGAGCAACTCGCTAATGAAACGAAGACGCAAGGGGCTACTGGGAGTGAAAGAGAATGAGAAGACTAAGTAGGAAACAATTGATAAACCTCTTTACTTTTGTGTTCAAAACACTGGGGAGAAGTGCAAACGATAGGCGTATGATTTTTCGACATAATCAAACCTGCTGATAAATTCGCAGTTTTTATTACACACACACACACATATTTTAAATTTGTTCTTTATAATTATCTCTTGATTGAATTATTTAATTTATTTTTACATTATTTTATTCATATTATTTTATTTAATTTACTTTATTTTATTGATTTTGGATATTATTATTATTAATTTCAAATTGTGATGATGCGTTATGAGATTTTCTGTCTAAAACGACATGACAATTAAACATATTACTGTAACCCTTTTAATTCTGATCACCCGCTCCCTCCCTCCCTTACAAGTTTATTAACTTGTTCAGCCCTTTAAGGAATTTTTTTCTACGTCATCCTATTGACTCATTTATTTCTTCCTTCTTTCCTTTCTTTTCTTTCACTCTCTTTCTCTCTCCCCCTCTCTCTCTCTCTCTGTCCCCCTCTCTCTTTCTTCCCTAAATTAAAAAAGAAAAATTTATATTGAAATTTTTGATTTTTTTCTTTCGTTTTTATTATAAAAATAATATATAGATAGATAGATAGATAGATAGATAGATAGATAGATAGATATGAGCAGACTCCGATAGAACTAGTCCATATTGAACCGGTCCATATTGAACCACTGAAATGATAAACATCAATTTTTTTTTTTCACAAAATCAAGCAAATATTGAGTAAACAGAAGCCACATCACTTGTAAACTTTCAGCAGGAGCAACAACTAAAATGTATAGTACATGTAATTCGAAAAAAAATAACATGATTATGTCATATATGTTGAGTTCCACACAACACAAAACAAAAAGTTAAGAAGGAAACTCCTATCAATACTAGAAAGAAATATAACATTTAGTAGACTTAAGGAAACTCTTTTCCTAAGAAACTCTTTTAAGAGAAAGATTTTATACATTTCAACCGACAGTAATGCTAACTGTTTGGTCAATGAATAAATCTAATGTTAATATTAAGAATCTTATACCTTGTTTCTGTCACTACAAGGAAACTTATAGTTACAATAAGAAAGGTAAAATTTCAATTTCTGTGACACCGAAATGAGGAAAGGGAGCCTAGCGAATATAACCCACTCAAGGTAGACTGAAAGGAAAGGAAACTGGTGGGAAATAGCGTGTAAACTATTGATAGAACAGAGACGAAAAGGGGTGGTAAACTTTCCAAAATTACTCCTGGGCAAAGAAGAAGAAGAGGAGAATATGAGACTAGCTGCGACTTGCTATGTATAAAATTTATGGAAGATTTCGTTTACACAAGGATAGAGTTTGGCACTATGCAATCTTCGGATGCCCTGCACCAAATTTTGGTTGGACCAAGTCAGTTGCCCCCTAACTCACTCAAAATGAATGTAATCTTTATCAAGCATGCGAATGTTAATATGTTTTTAATGGAATCTGCTTCTTCTCTGCATCTCGCGTACCGAAAATATTCGGAATGTGTGCCTTCCCAAAAGGTAAATGCCCTCAGTTACGCTCATTAAAATCTACGAAGCCTGACCTTTTTTTAAGGGCCGTTTCATGACTATTTCGCTGAAGCGGGAAACGGAAAGTCATAAAAGAGGGCATTTAGGGGCGTGTCACATGGCCACTAAAATCCCGTAAATAAACCTGTGGCCGAGACTAGTAATAACTTCTGTCTTGTTGGGGGCGAATTATTAACATGCCTTCATTAGGGCGATGGGTGAAGAGATCTAGGTCAGATTTTTACGATTTCCTTAGGCCTATATCTTTTTTCTTTTTCTTTTTTGATTTGTTTGTTTATTGTTTGGTTTATTTTTTTCTTTTAAGGTGAAGAGAAAAGAATTTATTTTAAAAATTAAGCATAAAATTTTTCACTATCGACTGAAATGTTTAATTGACTTTTTACAAAATGTTAAAAAATAGACGCTAAGGTAGGTAGAGAAATAGGTAGGTAGAGAGAAAGAGAGGTGGGGGAGAAAGTGGCTGAGATAGATAGATAGATAGATAGATAGATAGATAGATAGATAGATAGATAGAACGAGATACTGAGCTAACTAGCTAGATAGATATGTATAAACTGAGATAGATAGATAGAAAGTGAGAGAGAGAAAGCGGCTAAGATAGCTAGATACAGATAAAACGAGAGGCTGAGATAGATAGATAGATAGATAGATAGATAGATAGATAGATAGATAAAGCTGAGATATCTAGACAGATAAAACGAGATGCTAAGCTAGCTAGCTAGATAGCTGTGTATAAACTGAGATAGATAATAAGAGAAATAAAGCGGCTAAGATAGCTAGACAGGAGACGCTGAGCTAGATAGATAGATAGATAGATAGATAGATAGATAGATAGATAGATAGATATGGAGAGATGGAGATAGAAAGAAAGAAAGAAAGAAAGAAAGAAAGAAAGAAAGAAAGAAAGAAAGAAAGAACGAACGAACGAACGAACGAACGAACGAACGAACGAAACAGCCTTCAAATCCCAAGAGATTTTATTGTTAAAAACTTTGCTCAATGGCGATGGATTTCCAATATATCTTCAGATTTGTCCAACAAATAACGTCATCTTTCATGGCTCAACCCTACTGGGAAAATCTCCAGAGCGACGTACATTTTTCGGCTGTCATCACTTATACGAACGCAAACATGTATCTATAGACATACATGCATCCACAAACACAATACACATACACACAGTATGACTGTATTTAGAAAATATATAAATATATATAAAATTATAATACTAGTAATAATAATAATAATATTAGTAATAATAATAATTGTAATAATTATATAACTAAAATAGACACGTGAAATTACGAGAAATTATCATATTATATGACATAACGTTTGCTTAAAAATTCTCCGTAGTTCACTAAAGTTCAATTGACTTATGTTAATTAACTGACCCCAGAGTTTCAGGTCAAAATATTTAATACATTTTAACACTATCTGCCATACTCTATCTTTACAAGCGTCAGATCAGACCAATAAAGGAGTATTGTTGCATTATCTGGGCTGGTGCTGCACAATCCTCACCGTTCGGCCTCGCCAAAGTTCAAACGCAGCCTTGTGGGTGATGAATTATTCCCCATCCCGCGATCTTTATTCTACAGACGAAACGTTACTGACTCCTCACTTCTCTATCGCTATTGATATGACAGATTTTGAGACGAGTTACATTTCTTTTTTCTACCAGTTCAGACCTTCACATCTAGGACCCGACATGTCATGTTCACGGTGGCAAACCATTCCTATTCCGTCTATATTTCTGAGATGAAGTATTATGTACACTATTTACATTATTCGGACTAGTGTCCCCACCTTTGTCGCCATATTTATTACAACGTTTCGGCCGTTATACGCTCCGGCCTTTTTCAGATGGTTGGAATGTCGAACTGAACCCTTTATTTCGCTTGCTCGTGTAGACTGTTCTAGTTCCACGTGCCGTGTTTAATGGATATCAGTTATCAGTTATTTCCTGTTAATTCCCATTTCCAAATTCTCCACTGCCTTAACCAGGTACTGAATTCACACTGTGGATAAAGGCGTTGGTTAGATCCAGTGACAGGACCCTAAGAGTGTGAGTTCAATACCCGGTTAGTCCGAATAATGTAGTGTGCATTCCTATTCCGTTCCTGTTTCTTTGATAAGAAGCAAGTGCCACTGAGTCCGCTGCTTCTGTTGTTTTGTAGAACGAGAGGATGCTTCTCTAACAACTACAATATTCATCTCTTTATCCGATATCAACCGATATCTATCCTATACATTCTCAAAATATGCATTTATTACTTCTTCCTTCATCCTTCGCCTGACTCAGTAACTCTCTACCTTGAGTGGCTCTTGTATTAGGGAACTAACAGTAAAGTTACGTTTTAAACGACACTCTAACATTGTAAGAATTTAACATCTGAAATTTATGATTAGTTTGTTCTGAAGGGTATATATTTGAAACTTGATAATAATTTCAATAGGTTTATCGAACATGTGGTCTTGAAGAGCGTTTTGATGCGAAACTCTGAAGTCGGTCAGTTAAGATAAGTCAATTGATATTTTATTGATTTTATTAAAAATAGATCAATGATATAAAGAAAAACAAAAACTAGAAGTATATCTTCAAATAAATTTGTACATTAGTTTAACTTCGAAAAACAGGGAAATATTAAATAAAAGCGGCATCTGGTTCGAGGATGACATTGTTAATGTTGGTCATCATGTTCCCGATTCATCAGTCTGTGGTAATGCAGAGCCGCTGTTATGTTGCGTTTTTTTTTGTTGTTGTTTTTTTCCAAAGCGCCCCAGTCATATCAAAGCAGGGGATTCAGAACAAGAGAGCCAGAAGACAAGTTGTTGATGTCATGATCGTGAAAATTCTCGCTCAAATGCATTCGCATCACGTGGGACATGTGTGTGTCTGAGAGAGAGGGAGAGAGAGAGAGCACAGTCTGAGTGTAACACGACCGCACATTCGGTGCCTGATTTAAACACACTCATATATAAAAAGGCTAAATGTGCAAGTGTAAAGATAAAAATAAAAACGATGAAAATGGCAAAATGATTACGACGCACACCCGTGCAGACGGGCTCACGTGAGGTGCATGACCGCACGCGGACAAGCGGACACACGAACACAGAGAATACAGAAGAAAACTTACGCCAGTGTTAAAGGTGCATAAAAGGAAAAAAAAGAATAATAATAAAAAAATATAAGCAGTAAATTGCTGATAACCAGTGAAGAGTGGACGGACAGGTCCGTCTACGAAACTAGAGTCAGGGTGCTGAAGGTAACATCATTCAACTAAGTGACAAATTTTTACTTTCATTAATCTTATATATATATATATATGAAGAAATGTACTTTTAAGGTGTGGTATATTTATGGGACAAAGTGCTCAATATCAGAGATAGAGCGTATGTAAATCTAAATATAAAAGTGAACATTGAAGTCAACACTCAGAGGTGGCAGGCTGTTTCATGCTGGACGCAATCGTCAGGCCGCAAATTCTGGATTTTTCCTTAGTTATTTATATATATGTGTCAGTGGTGCATTGTGGGTAATCTATTCTGGCGGTTATTTTTGCGGGAGTGTCTTGTTTGTATATTTATTTATTGTTTGTTTATTTATTTATTTGTTTGTGTAAGTAAAATAAATTAACCCAAACAAAAAAAATAAATAAAATAAATTAAATAAAACCGCGTTTTTTTTTTTTTTTTTTTTTTTTGCTCCCTGACTTCAAAAGTTTACTATTTCAAGAATAAATACAAATAATGTTGATCTCTTTTGTATTAGATTCATTGAATGGAAAATATATTCAAACCATAATTTTAATTATGAATCACCACAAGCAAAATATGCATTTTTTTACTGTATTTGATAAGTAAAAACTGTGTAAAAAATTGTAAAAGATTACAAAAAAGGTTACTCAGTAAATAAGATTTATTAGATCATTTGTCAGATCCTAATTAATAAAAACCAAAATAACTCACTGAAACTCATTTATTGCACATTCTTCCTTATAATTTGAATTGTTTTCTACACGCAGTCAATCTGCAGGCAATACAGTTTAGCGTTGATGGCGCGACTCAAAATGCCATTTTTCTTGTGATACTAGATTGGCTGGAAAGTTCTGACATATTTAAGAAGCGGAAAGAAAACAAATCAGGTGGAATTTCCAAGGATTTCTGCATTTTGAGCTTCAGTCGTGCGATCAACACTAAACTGTATTGCCAGCAGTTTGACCGCATGTACAACTAAAGAACGGGTATGCTACTTTGGTTAATCAAGGTCAGGCTTTATTTCAGCAAAACAATGCGAGGCCACACACTGCCAGGTTGACTAAGGAAAAGTTCAAACAGATGGACGATGTTGGGATTCTTCCACATCCACCATTCAGTCCCGATTCTGCTCTGAATGACTATAGACTATTCCGCCCAATGGCACACTTCCTCCGCAACCAACAATTTAACACTTGATGAAATGAATGAATCTCCTGAGCCAATCAAGTATAAAAATGAATACAATGTGGGAACCAGTAATAAGGAGTACCAGAGAAAAGCGATAATAACAACAAAAATTGCAATATGAGCTCTGGTAAAACATGAATGATGACAGCAAAAATTGCAATATGAGCGCTAGTAAAAAAGGTTGATGAATACATTAGGTTTATAATACCCAGGAATTCATACACAGATGTCCTCAAGGACACATGGTACATTGGATAATGGCCTTGGTTAGATCAAGTGACAGGAACCAAAGAATGTGAGTTCAATACCAGGCAGTGGAGAACTTAGAGAGGGGAATTAACAGGAGATAACTGATAACTGACATCCATTAAACATGGCAAGTGGAACTAGAACAGTCTACACGAGCAAGCGAAATAAAGGGTTCAGTTCAATATTCCAACCACCTGAAGAATTCCAGAGCGTACAACGGCCAAAACGCTGTAATAAATATGACAACAATGTAAATAATGTACATAATACCTCATCTCAGAAATATAGAAAGATACTGAATGAAGTTTGTTTACAGTTTTTCAAGTCAAAGCCAAAGGACTGGTATTTGGGACAGATTCGGATGCTGGTTGGTCGATGATAGACTTTATTTTGAAGAATAAATATTGGTGTCTCCATAAAACCTTGTTGCTTTCTTTCCGCTTCCTAAGTGAGTCAGAATTTTCTCGCCAACCAAATATTTTATCTTATTTGATTTGATTTTCATTATTGTATCTTTTTCCAAAAAATAACCATTTAGCTTCATTTTAGAAAAAATAAGTTATTTGTTAAGTAAATCATTACCCCTTTTCCGGGCGCACAAGCCACCAAATTTGGGCATCCTTAATAATTAGTTAACTTCGCTTTTGTTTTGTTTTAATAAAATTCCTTTGGTTTTATTTTCGCTATTGTGTATTTCGCGCCATTTTTTACGATGCGCCTTGTTGTCGCTTGGTATCAATTCTCGCCAATCACTTTTAACCGAACACCAAAATATATACATTTAATAGTTTTTCTTTTTTCCCCTATTTATTTTTTCATGGCGACTCCTTAATACATCAGTATTCTTTTCAAGGTAAGTTTATTCATGACTTTATTCTACGGACTTTCACTTTTTTAAATCTTTTTTCAAGAATCTTTGAGACTGTTCTATGCACACCACGACTTTTGAGCACAACTGCTACATTCATATTCATTGTGTCTGTTCCCGTATGTTCCCAGTGTTTGACATTCAAACAGTTACTGTGCCATTCTTTACAAAGCGACAAAATCTCTCATGAGGATTCTCTTGAGGATATGAACAGATTTTCATGTTGTGCTCTTTTATAGTTTGCAAGTTTCCGGTTTGACAGCCAACCCACCCAGGAATGCCGTATTAAAGTATGCTTTAAAATTATATGTTTATCACACACACACACACACACACACACACACACACACACACACACACACACACACACACATACATACATACATATAGCGGGGGTAACAGCAAAAATGTCCAGATCGTGTTACAGCATAAAAGTCCATCCTACAAAATGTTTAATATCTAAAAAACACTAAACTAACTGAGTTTATTTTTTTCCAGGTTTTTTTAGATAAGACGTTTAGCCATCTTGATGTCATTTGTCGTAAGATTCACTGAAAAACCCTTTAAGTTATTCGCCTAAAAATAGAAGAGATTAAAATCGTTTTGTGTCAGCCCCACTGTCTTCCCAAATGAACAATGGTGAAAGGAAAAATCATTCAAGCCTTCAGTAATGGTACCAAACATTCATACTCTGGCTTCCATCTTCCAAGTCCATTCAAGAACGGTGAATAAGTTTAAAAATGAGAGAAAAGAAGAGATGAAAACTGGATCATGGACGTCACAACAGCAAGAGGGATCATCATTTCAAGAGCTAAAGAGATCAATTAGAAAAGATCCAACTCAATCCATAAGACGTAAAAGATGAGTTTCCTCTATGACAGTCCAAAGAACAGTGAAAAAAGACTTGAAAATGAAATCGTACATGAAATGTGTGAGGCACCTTGTTACTCCAGGACAGAAAGTTAAAAGGTTAGAGAGGGCGAAGATCATCTTGAATAAGTATGAAAATGAACCTGGAATAATATATATATATATATATGAACTTTATTTAAATCCTTCATGAACTTCAGATCCTTACCTATGGTTAATTAATGATGAACATGTCATTTTCGTTTATGATCAATTTCATCACGAATCTTCTGTTATGCTTGACGAGTAATTATACATCCTTATTGCTCAAAGTAGAGTTCAATTGTGCTATAAAAACTCTGAAAAATTCCAGCAATATATCTTTAATCATTTCTAAGATACAACGGCTAAAATTGTATTCTAATAATTGATAAATTGTCATCTAAATTACGCAAAAGTGAAAATAACATTGACATTTCATTTTAACAGATATATTTACCAAAATTACACAAAAATATCTTGGAATACCGAAAAAATATATTTATTCAATAAAATCGCCGACCTCCAGTCAATTTCGGAATCTCCTGAATCTCTTCTCGATACTCTCCTTGTTTAAATTAGTGAATGCTGCCATAATTCTTGCCTTCAGTTCTTACAAGGAGTTTTGTTGGCACACACATAACAATCAAAAGGGTTGCAGTCTGGGGAATTAGGTGGCCAGATGGAAGGGGTGATGTGTTCGCAGAAATTGTCTGACAGCTACGATTCGGTTCTCCTGCTTATGTGGCATGGTGCAGAGTCTACTTTCTAGACACATGGTCTTCCAGCAGCCACCTTATAGACTCAGGGCACCATTACCTACTCTTGATACATTTGATGTAGGCCTCTGTGTTGATTCTGAGGCCCCGTGGGAAGATGAATGGAGGCATAACGCCGCCATTACTAGTGATCACTCTAAATACAATGATGTTGACTGGACATATCATCCAACTTTTTCCGAACCTTCAGCACTGTTCTCAGATTGACACCCAAACACTTTGAAATATTCGTATTCGAGCTTCCGGTGCCAATGCCAAGCAGTGCGGTATGCCATTTCCAAATTTCTGTCGGAGTGAATTGCGTTATGGTGCTCTTTTTCTCACAGACGGTGCCCAACTGATTCTACTTTGTAGTCGTCAAAATAAAGAAAACAAACACGCATGCGCGAAATTAAAAATATGAAATGGCGATAATTTATCCATCGCACCATATATATGTGTGTGTGTGTGTGTGTGTGTGTGTGTGTGTGTGTGTGTGTGTGTGTGTGTGCTTGCGCTATTGTGTGTGTAGTATGTGTGTGTCTGTGTGTGCGTAATCTGTGTGCCGATATAAAATTATAACACCATTTGCTTATTCTCAGCTTGCCATCATTTTCCTATGACATATTAAAATTAGTGCTCAACAGTAGCCAATTTATTCATGGAATCTACAGACATCTTACTGCTTTGTCGTAACAAGTAAACTTAAAGAAACCGTTAATGCCAGCTGTCGTCGACAATTGGCCTGCTTTCCACCGGCCACATCACTCTCGGTGATAACGTTGCAAACTCCTAAGACATTGACCTCGTTCGTAGAATATTTCAAGCACTTTTAACATTAAACAAGACCGAAATTTCCAGGCCGAACAGACAGAATGTTTTCGTCCATAGATAACAAGAGAAAGAAAGAATTAGCAAAAAAAATTAGTGTAATCGCAATCGTAAGAGGTGAAAAAAGGACAGGCATATAGCCACACGTAATGAATGTAGAATAATGGTCAGGCGACTCTCGCTTAAACTGATAGGAAGCCACAAATGCCCAGTGAGGATTGACATTGCTGCAGCACTGGTGATCTGCGATATATATATATATATATATATATATATATATATATATATATATATATATATATATATATATATATTGATTAAATCCGACAGATATTTTCTGTTAATACCTTATTTTTATGGATACAACTTATTTGAGTAAATGGTCTGTTTTTTATTTAAAGTTTATTAATTATATTTGAGAAATTTCGCAGAAAATATGCGTCCTCAGACAGGAATCGAACTTGTATCCTAAATGGAACTGTCATTTTGCCTGACGTGCTGCTAACCGATTCAAACCCAGATGACTTTCTCGAATATTCAGGCCGCTAAATGTAATTAATACTGTTTAAAAAGAAACAGAGCACTTAATCCATATAGTATGTTATCATTGTTTGCGTTAGGCTACGTTCCGTAGCAGTAATGAATTATCGAGAAAGGTTGTGGAATGTATGTGTTTATAAGCAGTAATTTGAGCTTTGGTAAACAGGAAATCCTCTGTAGTTGAATCGGTTAACAGCAAGTTAGGATAAATGGCGGTTTCCATGTGGGATGTAGGTTCGATTCCTGTCAAATGGTATCAAATATAGTTAAAGAATGATAAGATAAACGTTTCGTATATGTTCTTTATCTTATTATATATATATATATATATATGATTGTATTTGTGAAACAATCCGTCTTTTATATAAGTTTCATTAAATATGACTGACAAGATAGTCTGATTAGGCTTTTTATTCAATTTGTATTGTATTTCTATATGTGTTTTCTTTTCTAAGTATAAATTGTATCAAAAAAATGTCCTATATATCCGTACACTCTCGGTTATTTTATTACCCATTATCGAAGAAATGTTCTTTAGTTTTTAACTGAATATATTTATATATGTGTTGATGGAAATCTTTTTTTCTTTTTCCAAACACAATGAGCACATTGCAGCCGTGTTCATAATTGATATTATTGAGTTGTTTTTTTCTTTTATTATTATTAATGCTTCCATTATTTTTAGCCTTTTTTCTTTTTTTACGTGTGGATGAGGCTATTATAGTCGTATTTTATACTAGTATGCTACGGACGAAGTTTGGTAGCTTGCCGTTAAATGGGTCTTAATTGACCTATAGTCAGAAAGATGTAACACGAGTCTTCTTAATAAGCATGTAGTGGTATGTGCAATATAATTATTCATGAATTTGGTTTGATCAATAACGCAGTTCATAAGGGACATGTAAAGTCAAAAATAATTCTGGTCCTCGGTAATTTAGATCTTGCCGGTGTGTTGTTATTGTTTACGATAAGGTTGAACGTTTTAATTTTTTTTTTTTTTTGTATATAATTAATTTAATTTTCTTTTTATGGTCGACTTAGTTTGTGTATTTCTTTTTAAAGTTTCTAAGGAAAATTCATCCTGCTTCTTGTTAATGGGTATTTGATTTAATAAAATTTGTTAATATTATTGGTTTTATCTGTATGTTCAGTGTTGCTATTTGTCACTTTAGAAAGAATTTGGTTACTTTAAAATGAATTTGTTTTTCTATGAGGTAGTTCAGTAAACCGTTATTAACTAGCGTCTTTTTCACGCTGTTGAGTTCTTTAACGAATAGCGAGCGGGAGGATGAATTCTCGTGCATTCACTTGAGGACATGTTTTATAACACCTATTTTATATCTAAGTCGACATTCACTCGTAAAATTAAGGTGGCAACAGTTTCTACCTGTGGGTTTCTCGAAGGATTTTTCTAGAAACTCTATTCATTATGACTAAATTCCTATTTAAATCTAGAAATCATCTAGCATACAATTAAATCAAATCTACTAGATCTCATCAGTAATATAACGCACGCAGGAATAAGATCCTCCAACAAGAAAAAAAACTATTTCATTTTTTTTTTCATTTCTCGTTGATAAAGGACACAGGCGTGTCCGAAAATTCCGATTTTTAATATCTGCTCTCATCATGCTTCCATTTGGTCAAAAGGCCTACTAATATATATTATTAGTTTTATTATCAATATTATTATTTTTGTTGTTATTTTATCTCTCGAATTTCTTTCATCGACCTACGATACCTATATAGTATAAAAAGCATATGTGCAGAGCCGGTTTGAGGATCTGGCCGCCACACCAAATGCACCTCACTCTACTACATCTCAATTTTCATAAGGTAGTATCGATATAAAATACAAATTTTATTGTAACCTAATTATCTACAATAATGGCTCATATGCAATATAGGTGAACAATTCGATTAAAAAAATTGAAAATAAATACAATGTATCTAAATACAAATTAGAAACCTCCCATAATAGATCATTCCATCTTCAATAATCTTCAAAATGTTTTGCGACAATTTGTAACATCTACTTGAGATTTTTCTTGTTAATAAGTTGAATTATTTGACACATTCAACATTATGGATAAAAAAAATAGTAATTTTTGTATCGTGTTTTTTCAAGACTTAGCACAAACAAAACAAATTCACGGATTTGAAAAAAAAAAAAACGAACCCCCAGAATGACGTCAAAATCCGCGGAAATTTGTGATCCTTTAATTGTCAGTTTTGCGTATTTTAGTTTGTAACGTATATAAATGCAAGTAGAAAAAAGTAAATGTTGATAAGATAGCAAGGGTCGCAAAGTCCAGGGCCCCACATCAGGTTTGGTCCCCACCGGTATGGTAGACAAGATTTTGTTGGCTACGTCCTAGAATTTGTAGAACGGTACATTTCAAATTCAAATATGTGTATCCTATAAGTGACATCATACTTAAAATGTTTTCCTAGAGCTTAACAACACTGGAAAATGATTGTATCAAATATTTTATACTTATCATCATCATCATTTATTATTATTATTTTTAACATACATAAAATGTTTTAGACACACTTTAATATACATTTTTCCACCCTTTCGTTTGTTTGACATTAAATTATGTCACTTAGCGTCCTCCAGAGCTTATCTAAACTTTTCAGTTAACCTTTTCTTAAATTTAAAAATTTTGAAAAAATAATAAGATTTTTGATTTTGTCTATAAATACTTGCTATAAAATAAAATCCTTGCATTTGCCCTGATAAAGTCCCTCAGAAGACGATACTCGTCAGTTATTTATATTGTCATATTCTATTTGAAAAATATTACACACACACACACACCCATATATATATATATATATATATATATATATACACACACACTACACACACACACACACACACACACATATATATATATATATATATATATATGCCTACTTATATATATATATATACGCGCACAAGGCCGGAATTGGATAACTGGTACACATGTAGAGAGGAACACATGCGGAAAAATCTGAAATTGATATCTCAGCGTCCATAGGAGTAAACAGAAGGTAATGTCTTAACGCATGCGCACTTGTACATATGCAGATGTACTTTACAGCTCTTTACATCGACCATTTTATCGAAATTTCTAACATTTTATGAATCATTGAAAAGCATAACGTCTACGGATCAACTTGATGGCCATATGAGAGATATAATATCACATATTATAATTAATATATTAATATTATATTAATAATATTAATATTTTCGGTTTTGTTTCTAAAATAACTACTTTATTATAAATCGACGAATTTTTGCTTACAAATAATGAAAATAATTTCTTCCAATTTTACAAAAATAATCCTGTTTGTTTGTCTGTTTCTCTGTATGTATATATATATATATATATAGACACCCAGACAAAAATATATGTAATGACATATGAAATATTAGAACAAAGTGTGTAAGATGGAATTTTGGAAAATCAATGCGATGTTTAATTTCTTTTATTTTTTTATCAGCGTTTCACTCTGTAAGAGCTCATCAGAACAAATGAAAAATCCAAGGAAAAACCGTTACCATGGTAATCTTGCTACTGAGAAACGCTTTGGTTAATTTGAAAAAAATTCAACACCTAATATAATTAAAATTAAATATCTTTGAATCATTCAATGAGAATTGTTAATAAGAAAATTTTAATCTGTAAATGTGGTGATTTGATATAGTAATATATATATATATATATATATATATATATATGTGTGTGTGTGTGTGTGTGTGTGTGTGTGTGTGTGTGTGTGTGTGTGTCTAGCTTATATATTAATTCGTAAGTTTAAAGTTATTCATGGCAATGACGAACTCCAGAGATTATCGCTTTTGTTATATATTGAGTATTTTCTGGAAAAAATTCTGCCAACCTTAAAAATAGGTTAAATTCTAGAAGTTTTACACATTTTGATGTCATTTATTATTATTATTATTATTATTATTATTATTATTATTATTATTATTATTATTTCCTTTGATTTCTAGTGTATACGCATTTCTTTCCGGGTCTCATCATGACATTTTCGAATGAGCAATATAAAAGAAAAAAAATCACACATATTTTACATAGATAAAACCCTTCGTAAGGTGTGGGCTGTTCTTGTAAGTACATATTTTGTATTTATTTAAGGCTTGGGCTACCAGGGATTCCTTCAATGAGTCTATTGGAATCTTTTCCAAATAATCCGAGGGCTCCAACTGGAATTGTTAATGTCCTCATCTACCACATTTTGGAGATTTCGATTTCAAGGTCCTTGTATTTTGATAGTTTTTTGTAGATCTTCGAAGATAGATTACAGTCTGCAGGAACTGCCATTTCAATAAGAAGGAACATTTTGTTTTTGTTTATTATTATCCTTATTATAGAAGTGTGAATGAATAAGAGAGAGATAGTGAGTGTGTGTGCGTGTGTGTGTATGCGAAGACATAGAGAGATATATAATTGTCACATCATGAGAACGAGTGTAAGAACAGAAGATGAAAACCTGGAAGACGTCCAGGAATATAGCTACAAAATTAGATGATGAAAACGAAATAAAACCGCGCAGAACGATTAGTCAGTAAGCATTTAA